CGGAATGCACGCGCGGGCACGGCGCGAAAAGAAAAAAATCCAAATTCAATCCAAAAAGTATTGTCGAGCTTCCCACCATGCTACGGCCCGTCGTTTAGAGCGGAAGGGCTTTGGCATGCTCCGCGTGTCTCGTTTTCGTATCAAATCCCGACGTCGTTTTCTGGTCAAATCTGAGTCTGACGTGGATGGCCTCAGCCGCGTGGCTCTTTCCTTATGCTTGTCTTCACTCTGTATTCGGTAGTGGAAGCCTTTTGCTTCGTAGCGATCGAAACGCTGGCACTCTGTGCACAGGGTTCGAGGCCAATGGGGCGCCACTGCTGTCCACGGGATGACTATCAACTCGTTGAATGGCAACAATATCGAGTAGGGTGGGAAGTGTGTATCAATAATGACAAACCCAGCCTCTATGAATCCTGAACAACGGTTTGCCGGAGGGAAGTAGTATCGTCCGCCGATCTGTGCGACAGCTTCTCGTTCGTCCCACTCGCATACACGTGTCCTTTCCTCGTTGTAGGGAAAAGGTCGTGTTGATACGGGAGGTACGGGAGGTTGACACCCGATCGAAGGGTGCTTGTCAGTTCACATGTCAATCAATTGCAAAAATTCCAAGACGTCATCAAGGAAAAACACTCGCGCAATCACCAATCAATCCTTTTCGACACGAGAGAGAGAGAGAAAACACTCATCACCTCGATCATGCATGTAACTGAGGGACCGACCCGCGACTCAGGTTTCCGTAAGCCACCGCGGTGTTGATCCCAGGCGCCTTATTTCTCGAGACTGCCCTGTAGATCGGTTGCAGATGTCGTGCAGCATAAGGCAGATGGCATGCGCAGTGCATTCAGAACTACAGATCTAAACACTCTTGCATTCTCAAACAAAGTCCCGACAACAATTGTCTAATCAACGTAAAAAGACACGTATCTCCATACATACACTCACTGTGGAAGGTGCGAAAATGAGATATGCACAGGGATAAAAGATGGATCGCTAAATAATACACATGCATCCACCGTTCACAAGACAAGAATATCAATTCCTCGACCATCGGGGATTACCTAGGAAACTAATGGAAGATTTCCGGAAGAAGTTCCTTCACGCAGGAAAGCATACAAATTCATTCTCATTTACGAGAGGAACAAGCATCAAGACACATCGTCATTCAAAGATAGAAAAGAGAAAGAGAGACGAGGGAGGAAAATCGAGATAGGAGATGATAAGATCCAAAAAAAAAGGAAGTTCAGCATTGCCGCCGTACACTCACAATTCTAATATGGCCACGGGCCAATCACTCACTCAACTCCAATCGTCGATCCTCATACCCGCACCGACGATCCCGGTCGTCGCGTGCTAACTCCCACCACTGCGATCGTCACCCCGCCGACGTAAACTCGACGTAGTTCGCCCAGATCCCACAGTCCGTCGTGGCGATCAAGCGCGCAACCGTCCAGCCTATCGTCAGCCTGACAGGACTTTCCGACTCGCACCAAACACTCTGCCTAGCCACTGCTTCCCGGAAGCTGGCTTGGGAGTCGAGAACGTAAGAGAGATTTGCGGGCGCGTTTGCGGAATTTATAGTGGCGAGAAGGGGGGCGAGGGAGAGAGAAGGCAGGGGGAAAGTCGAAGTGTAGGAGGAGAAGACTTTGAGAAGAGTGTTCCGTGGAAGCCATGTTGATCCCTCGAGACTCAAGGTTCAACCAATCAGATTCGTCGCGCAATAGGAAGATCCTATTGATCCACATACCTGATTGGCGAGCGGGAGTTATCGAAGGATCGATCGGGTGTCATGCGCTGAATTCAGAAGGTGGGAAGAAAAAAGGCGCGAGGAGTAGCACAAGACGGGTCCAAGATTCAGATGATCAAGAAAGGGAAATGGGCGCGCAAAGAGTAGAGCGGGAGAGAGAGAGAGAGGGAGAAAAACAGTTACGAGGAGAGAGAAAGAGGAGGGGGGAAGGAAAAAGGAGCGCGGGAGAGAGCGATGCGGGGGACAGAGAGGAGAAAGCTTTGCATGCGCGGCGCCGTCAAATAAAAAAAGAGAAAAAGGCATCGAAATAGTTACAGCTTGCCTACATCCTAAACCAATTCAAAATTGAAATCACCATATCCGCGCGCGAAAGAGCGACGCAGGAAAAGAAAGTCCTACGCCTATTCGTATCTCCACAAAATTCCGAGAGTTTTCCCCAACGCGACCAAGAACATTCACACACAAAAAGGGCACGTCGAAGTTCCGCTTATCCCGGAATTCCCAACTGCCGGACCCAATTCCCAGTGCGCTCGCTAAGGCGCGTGTAAATTCCCGTGTATTTCCTGAATTGCAAAAAGCAGAATTCCAAGAATCAACCAAGCTTTTGACAAAACGGGGGCCAAAAACACGGCGCCCAAAATCAAGAAAACAAACGGGGTACTCGTAGGGTCGGTATGGTACAAGAAAAATTCGAGCCAAAGGGGTATGAAAGATAGCACGGGTTCAGGAAGTAGTTTGTCACAGGGGGGAAGAATGGCACCCCTAGGCAGAGAGAGAAAGAGAAAAGCTATCTTTTTTTTGGGGGGGGAACTGCGGCTGTGACACACCATTAGTTTGAAATAGGCAAGAAAACACAAAGCGGCACCAGTGTCATGGTGGGAGTTTTGAAATGTGCAAGTTTATCGGGGGTCTACAACTGCGCCGCCAGTCATTACCCGCAGTGGCCCTTGGCAGATTTAGGGCCTCTCTCCACTACTGTCCACTGTACAAAAATGGACACTGGGACGTCGCTCCATTTACTGTCCATTATCGGTGTGCAAAATGGCTTGGACATTTGTCAGAAATACGGTGGAAAATTGAGGGTCTCGCTCCACTACTGTCCACTGTACAAAAACAGACAGTCGTACTTCGCTCCACTTACTGTCCACTGTACATGTGCAAAATGGCTTGGACAGTTTTTAGAAACCCCGTCGAAAATCTATTGTCCATGAATGTACAGCTCCCAGCCTGCAAAATTCGTTAAGCGGAAAGTCCTTCAAGGGACTCACCCTGAGGACCCGAATTTGGAGAGTGCACCTGGAGTTTGGGCGGACAAAACCCTATGGACGTCCTGTCTTGTAGTGCTATCACTATGTCTGGTAGTGAAGCCACGAATTTGAGAGGTGGACAGCGTACAGTAAGTGGTCCAGGAGCGATGTCGCATTTTCCACTGTCCCCTGTACAATTTTTCGCTCTGACAACTGTCCACCAACTGTCCGAAAAATTGTACAGTGGACAGTAGTGGAGCGAGACCCATAGAGTACAGCAAGTGGAGCTATGCGGCGTTTCCACGATTTTTGTTTGCTCCCATAGCTGTCCAGGAACTGTCCACACACAATTTTGTACAGTGGACAGTAGTGGAGAGAGACCCTTGGGTTCACCTTTTTTGCTCCATTTTGGGAACTGCTAAAGTCGCCTATTCTTTTTTTTTTCTTTTTCTTTTTTTAATTTAAGGAATGAAATCATTTTATTGGTCACTTGGAAAGGGAGGCCGGGAATCCTCACAAACAACCCGGATTTGTCACTCTTGGGGAATTACCCAGCTCAGGCTTTTGCTGGAAACCGGGTCCAGCGTCCCAAGATCCATCTTTTATCACACAATTCCGAGCAGCTGCTATTCCTCCAAAATAAACATGAAGCCCATTGAACCTTCCTTCCCCCCCCGCCCCCCATCAGACTTCCCTGATGCTTTTCCCCCACACCCGCGTTCTCTGATTGAAGAGATAGACTGAAGGGCGGACAGACAGGCTGCATGGACGTGCAAGGGAGTATCTAAGATTGCTTGTGTGTGTTGGTCGTCAACCCTGCCCTGCTCTGCTCTCCAACATCTTGATACCCTCTAAGAACATCACACCTCTGATTTTTTCATAGAAACAGATAGCAAAGCACCCCAGACCTTGGCCCTTGGGTGCCACTCCGAGGGCCGGGTTAACTTTGTTCTACCCTCAGAAGCATTCCACCCCAGGCCTTCGGTGCCCCTCGGAGGGCTGGGGTCTCCCAGGGGAAATCAATGCTCGTGGAGTTCAGAGCCTCACAAACCTTTTTGCTTCTCCCCACCAATAGACGGAGCCTCTGTTTTCAAAAAAAAAAAAAAAGAAGCATAGGGTATCTAGGGGTAAAACTGGAAGTGAAACTCAGGATTCCAGACTGTGCTCTATCTTACGTCAGAGTCAAAATTATCTCCTTTCTTTGGGTGTGACTCCAACGTACTTGCCCCCTTTTTTTCCCTTAACAAGCACGTTTATGCCAGAACAGAGTTTGCACGTTTCCAGGGTTGGGAAATGCCGGTGCAACGGTCGAGAGTTGGCCTTTTTTTGCAACCGGGCATACCCCTCCACCTGCACCTAAACTGGGTAAAGGTCCCAGAATTGTTTTCTGTCTTGCTCCGGGTTGTTTGTGGAAGCAGGCTGCTTATCTTGGAACAGGTCGGTACCAGAGCCCAAGTAGCGGTCCGACCCTTCGGACATGGCCTTTGTACAGCAAGCAGGGCTGTCAGGCGGTAATAAGAGTTTTTTCAAATCTTTTTGAATTCGTTTTGCTGAGGTTTTGTGTTTGCGCACGGTCCGTGCCCCTCGCCTGTTTTTCGGACCAGGCCTGGAGCTCATTGGGTTTTGTATATTAACTGGCTGACAAGTCGGTTAGACTCCTCTTCGGTCCCCTCACCGAACGGGAGTCATCAGCGCCATGCGTGACTCTTCGTGGTCTGATGGTTGGATTGGCGGATCTTGGGGTTGTGGACTGTTGTTGGTGGGAGGTTTTGCATGATTGCGCTAATTACGGCATTTTCTGAGCCGAGACTACTCGAGTGCCTTGCTTTGCAAGTGTTTTCGTGTGTCACCTTTGCTTCTAGCTATTGGCGTCGTAACCTGCTAGGCAATCATACCTAGAGGGGGTGGCGGCGAAGTTCATAGACAAAGTGAGGGAGAAGACGGCGTTTGATTGTGACAACTGCGTGAGAATTGAGCGGGTGTTCTGGTGGAAGTATAGACGGTCGTGGGCGACTGCGAGTGTCAAGGATGAGTTAGGAAAGTACCGAGAGCAGCCCGGTCCCCGGTAGATCCGATGGATCGACCGGAAGCGCAGGAGGAAGACCACCACCTCGGAGTTATGAGAATAGGATGGCGGGCCGTACCTGCTTTCGTTGTGGGAAGCCCGACCATTTCGCCAACCTTTGCGACGAGTACTGGGATGCTCGGGATAAGGGTATCCCCTTTGTCCCACCGCCACCACTGCAGGTGCGTAGTGGTCGCACCATGGCAACCGGTGCGGAAAAGCGGAGTCATTCGGCTGATAACTACGGATCGAGACGCGAAACTGACGAGATGAACAATATAATGAGAACGTATTTTTTCGAGATGGCGAAGGAACGAGAGGAGGCAAAGCAGAGGGCCGCGAGAGAAGAAGCACAACGCAAAGAAGAGGCGGCAAGGAAGGAACAAGAAAAGGAGAGACTACAAGAGTTGGAGGAAAAGAAACGCGCCGAAGATGAACGAGATGTGTGCTTACTTAGAATGATACGTGAGGAGATCCGTCACGACAGTGGAAAGGAGAACGAAAGTGCTTCTCGAGCGAAACGTACAGTAGTCAAGCGCAATGAGAGAGGGGAGACGGTCGAGGAAGAAAAAGAGCGGTTAAGGCGTGAGATAGCTTTACGAGAAGAGGCCGAAGAGGATGCGGAGCTAATCCTGCTGCGACGACGGGCGACAGGACTAGAGATTAACAAAAAGCGCAAGAGGGGCAAGGAAGCGGCGGTGGGTGATAGCCCGCCTATGACTACGCCGACGAAAGGACAACGGACTGTCCTGGGCACGACTTCAAAATTGAGGATTGAGGAACTGCGCGAGTGCGGCCACATGGGGAGTACGTCTTCTCCAATCGCTGAACCAGTCGGGAAGATCGGCGTGTCCATCAAGCATGTGACTGCAGGAACTGGTCCAGGTGCGCGCGCAAAGTATGAGGAGGAGATCCGAACTCTATATGAAGCCTTGATGGTTGATGAGTTAAAGGATGCTTGAAAAAATGAACGGATCGCTTATGGGAAGAGAGATCTGGCGATTAATCGCCTGGTGATGCGTCGCGCGATCAAGGTGTGCGATCCCATTAACGTTCCACTGCCTACTACACCGTGTCCAAGGAGGTCGACGAGAACACAGAAAGGCAGCGGTTACGAAGGTCAGGATGATGGAGGAGACTCCGAGTGAGGAAATGGACCTAATGATCTATGGCGAAGTGTCGACGAACTGACCAAGCTGCGTGAGTCATGTGGATGTAAGGGTGATGACGAACGTCGGATGAGAGCGGTTGTCCTAGGACTGATTCTAGCAGGAGAATTGCGTTGGGGCGAAAAGTACTTAGAACTGTGGAAACAAGAGGCTTTTTTCGGAACATTGGATCTTCGATCTCCGCGAAGCTGTGTCTATGTAGTTATCTCCCCGTGGTTTAAGCAAACGTACGTGGGTATGACTGAAAGGACTCTGTCCGAGAGATGGCTTGAGCACCTGAAGTGTGCGAGGAGTGGGGATAGCAAGCGGTCGAGAAACTTGTATAATTGGTTAGGCAAGGTTGGGGTTCACTCGTACGTAGCAGTACCGGTTTACTTTAGCTCCAACAGAAGAGAACAAGAAGTCGTTGAACGGACTCTGATCAGGGTATGGTCACCATCCCTGAACTCAAAGGGAGGAAAGCGGCGTTCGAGAAAACGAAGACGACGGGGAAAGAAAGAACGAAGGAGAGATGTTGTGAGAAGAGATACTAAGAGCGGGAAGAAGGGAAGGGAGAGTGGAGTGTGCGAGAAAAGTTCGATTACAGCCCTGTGAAGGGAAGGAGGCGAGCAGACGGTTAGAGTGATCAACCTGTTGCGAAGTCTGACCAAGACTCCGTGGGGCGTTGGGATACGTATCTGGACGAATGGCGGAGGTAATTGGGTTGACAATTGGCGGGTTGTGCGACGAACGTTTGGCGAGTCCCTGGTGTGTGTAGGGAAACGTACTAGACCGTTACGAAAATGTAAAAGGTTGTTCGAAGTCAAAGGATGGATCACGGTTCGGGACGTGACCGAGGCTACACTGAAAGCACTGAAGCTGAAGCAAGACTTGGTCGGCATCTTCAAGGACAAGCGAAAGATGCAGAGACTGTATAGTAAGTCGCAGGATGAGCTGGTCGAGTACTATGCGGCGGCTAAGTTGTTTTCAGAGAAACAGAGTAGGATTAGGGGAAGGCAAATCATCTCCGACGTGTTTAGAAGGGGGTTTGGGATGAATGTTCGAAGAAGACTCGTCGTGAAGGTCGAGTTCGACGACAGAATTAAGAAGAATGAAGTGGTGAAACTGATGCGGCGGGGAATCGGGGAACTACCTATCAATCATGCGATTGTGAAGATGGTGCGTAGACACGCCCGTGTTGTTTGGACAAGAAGTCCGAACATGGGCGATCTAATCCATAATCACCGCCGTTTTGGGGCGGATGGCGTCTCTAAGTGCATTTGCACTAGCATGCCCTTCCCTAGACAGGGTGGGCACGTCCATTTTCGCATTGGTGATTGGCAAGGTTGCCCAGCGATAGCCCCCAATGCTAAGAATATACCGAAAAATGCGAAGGCAGAACTGTCGGCAAGACTGTCCAAGGAAGTGGCTGATGGTTTCGCGGATCTGAGTTGGTTAGGAAGCAATGTAGGGAGGGTTGGATTCACAAGGGAGGAAGTCGTTGCATGCATAAGGGCAGATGGGATTGGAGATAGCGGCGATGCAGATGTGGTACGTCAGTTGCGCAAAGACTTGAGAGGATTTGTCTGTTGTCCGCTGGATCGGAATCTAGGGGATACACTGGTCATGTGTCCTGCAGTGTATGCAGAAGGAATGAGGGCGACCTTCACACGAAATGAAGGGAATGTAACTCGCGAAGAAACTGAAGAAGACATCATTGGATTGACACACGCGGCTTACAAATGTGGGAATTTCAATCAGATTGCACCTTTGAAGAAGGAGGGTAAGCTGGGTAGAGCTTACACCTTGCCAAAACATAAGGACACGGAGAAATACAGGCCGATCTGTCCAACCTTCAGTGAGTCGAGTAATGCGGCATGTAGGAAGATAGCACGCGCACTGAATGGTATGTTGTTTGCAATTCCGGAGAGTAAACATTTCAATTTGAAATCGGTCTCTGAGCTGCGCGGGAGACTGATTGGGATTAACCAGAGTATGCGTCGTGTTTGTAAGAATGTGCAGATCGTGACTAGCTCGTACGATATCAAAGATATGTTTAGTAGACTCCCGCATGCAACTATCGTACGAGCTGTCGACTGGTGTATTTGGTGGTTCGAGTCGAAAGGTTTCCAGGGTGTGTTTGTTATACGGAGAGGGAAAGGCACCTTGTTCAGCAGGCAGGAAAGCATGGATGGTTTTCAGTTCGTAAGTTTTGGAATGATCCGGGGGTTCGTAAATTTCGAGTTGGAGGGTTGTTTTGCAACAGGTTATAGGAATCCCGATGGGAAAGTCAACCAGTCCCCCGTTAGCATGCATGATGTGCGCAAAAGCTGAGTGGGACTTTCTGATGGCACTAGGCAGCGATAGGCGACTTGTGGCCGGCATTCGCTATGTCGATGGTGCGTCGCTCTTCGTAGCCTTTGACCATCGGAAACCGGAATCGAGGAAGAAAGCCGAAGAGATCCGGGTTAAATTTGAGAATTGCTATGACAAGGCGTTGACCTTGAAAAAGACTGATGAGGGGGAAGATTCGTGGGATTTCTTGGGATGCCGTTTGAGCGTGAGGAAGGAATGTCCTTTCCTCAGTTGCTGTTTCACCATGAAGAACGAGAAGGAATTGGTGGAGGGTGCGGACTTGATATTCAGAGTTTTCCAAGACTTCGAGTCATGGTCTAGCAAGAAGTCGAGGATGGCGGTGGTTATGAGTACGCTGCATAGGATCCTTCAAAACTCAATGACGAGTATGGGTCTGATCGAAACGCTCCTGCTACTAAAAGTGGAATTAAGGAGGAGTTGATACCCCGACCACTACTTCGCAAGGGCACTCAAGAATTTCGCCAGGGATAAGAGCCCACTGCGGAAACTGTTGGCCGAACTGTTGGGGAAAGATTGGAGTGTACGCGTAATGATAGCTCCCGCCGGTAGTGGAGTTTGCTCCCCCGCCAATAATATGAGTGGCGCGAAGGGAGGGAGATGGAGGGAGGAAGAGAATGAGAGAGAGAGAGAGAAGAAGAAAAAAAACCGTAGAATGTATGTCTAGATTTACCTTTGAGTGCTTTTTCAGAGTGCTTTTCAGTCTCGTATAGACAAGATAGAATGTTTGCTTTGATTGGTGTGTTGTGATGTGTGTGATGTGATGATTGAACGCAGATAGGCTTTTCGAATGGCATGATTGGCCTCTAGCGTTGACTGTTCGTGTTCTTCATTCCCTCAGGATTGAGGAACGAGGCTGCTTATCTTGGAACAGGTCGGTACCAGAGCCCAAGTAGCGGTCCGACCGTTCGGACATGGCCTTTGTACAGCAAGCAGGGCTGTCAGGCGGTAATAAGAGTTTTTTCAAATCTTTTTGAATTCGTTTTGCTGAGGTTTTGTGTTTGTGCGTGGTCCGTGCCCCTCGCCTGTTTTTCGGACCAGGGGTGAAGTCCGATTGCCGAAGTTGAGTTTTCTCAACGCTGAGCTTTCTATCACGTGTGGCAGGGTGGGACGGAGCTCTGCCGTTGATGTATTGAGAATCTAAGGGTACCGAAATACAGGAGAATAACCTATTAGATTTGGTCATTTTGTAGAATTTTTCTTTGACGTGAAATCCGTTTTGTAGTATGCGTTGGCCCTTTTAGTTTGGGCGGGAAGCCATTTTCCATTGAGAAAACTACCCTACCGAGGGTAGGGTACATTTCTCAACTTATTTGCCTTTCGTTTTTTTTTTTTTTTAGATATCATTACACCCTGAAACGGAGGAACTCTGACAGCTGTGTTTGGCTCTCTCGCATCAAACTCTCTTCCTTCTTTGGGCAATGAACGCATCTGGCCATCCATGTTGTCCCTGTCCATTTTACGAATGGTGACCTCCTGTCCCCTCACCACGGGAAGTAYCYTTTTTCCACGGAGACATTCACTCCGACTGTGCCAGATGTGTTTCATTTCTCCGAGTTACTTCATCAAAAATAAGGAGAAAAGCTGTTTCTAGCCTTTTTTTTCAGTTTTTTAATTTTTTGTTTCGAATTTATGAATGTCAAAATGGTGTCACACGGCTGCGTTTTCTAAACTTAACTTGGGCGGTGGGACTTCACCCCAGGCCTGGAGCTCATTGGGTTTTGTATATTAACTGGGTGACAAGTCGGTTAGACTCCTCTTCGGTGCCCTCACCGAAAGGGAGGTCTGGGTATATTAGACCCCCATCAACAGAACATAGCATTGCTGAGCAAGTGGGTGATAATGGCATTATTTGAAGGGGAAGGGAAACTGTGGGTCAAGTTTGCTGAGTATATTTTAGGCTCCGAGTGGGGGCTGAACTCTGCTGCGGTGTTTGGAGGGTCATTATGTTGGAAGCCTATGCTAGCAAAAGGCCGAAATCTAAGGTATGGTCTGCTATTCTGAATGCATGGAAACAGGTTCGGCCAGATCTGCTAAGGCAACCGCAGACTAGGCTTGAAATACTCAATCAGTTTTTATTTGAGAACCCATATATTAAGCGCAGCAATGGTGAGGTCCTTCAAGTCTCTAAAGAACCTGGGGATTTTGGGAGAAGTTGGATAGAAAAGGGTATCATTCAGATTAGGGACATATGGGATATAGATGTGGGAGACTGGATCTCTGTGACGGAGCTGAAGGCAAAATTGCCGAGACTGAGGAACGTAGAGTTAAATTTCACCCTCATGAAACAAGCTATCCCACCATTCTGGAAAGGATTATTGAAGGAAGATGCGGAGCACGGTGGGGAGACATGGCTTTTCCACCCAACAGACACCAACCCCCCACGCATTCTGAAGGTAGTGGGGCCAGAGTTAAGAGGGGGGATAAAAGTCAAGGTTTGGACGACACATAGAACGACAAAAGGGGAATGGCTGCTTGCCTTGGAAACTGAGGAGACTATCCCAACTACGGTTGGCCTGTCGGAAGCCAGGGTTCTTGATTTGGGCAGACAGTGCCAGACACAAGGAGCACCAATATACTCTTCTGAAGAAGAAAGCAGAAGACTACAAGGTAGAACCCTTACTGTATGGCTGGAATCAGACTTCAGATGCTGGGATCACTCCAATTTACAGGTATAAGCCGAAGATATGAACAGCGGTCCAGCGACAAAGGGTAAAGAAAAAACCAAGTGAAATGGCACGGATTCGAACCATCATTCGTGGATTTGCACTGGAAAGGTTTCGGAAACAAATCAGTCTTCAAGACAAGCAGCCAGACTTTAAAGTTATATGGAAAATTCTGAAGAGGATACCCTCTCAGCGACATGCAGGCATGATGTGGCTACAGGCAATGCAGGCTACACCGTCAGCGGTCTGGTTGGAAGGGAGAGGAATGCCTATAGATATCAATTGTCAGAGATGCGATTGGGGCTGGGAAACCAGCACTCACCTATGGCTGCATTGCCCGCTGTCCGAAGAGCTCCGGCGGTGGTGGAAACACCATTGGCAGAATATTGTGGGGGTGGAATGGGAGTGGTCGGACGATTGGATTCTTCATGCTATCCCTCCACAAAAGTCAAATTTCACATCTGGTTGTGGTATGTAGCATTTGTTTGCAGGGAAGCAGTCATGAGCATCATCTGGAAGGCCAGAAATGCGAAAGTCTTTAGGGACGAAAAGATGCCGCTTCAACAGCAGATTATCCTAGTTAAGGAACAGATTCGTCTAGCCATTCGTTCAGACTGGCGAGCCACAAGGTGCAAGAGTGCAAAAAGCTCTAGATTTCGTAGCACCTGGGCAAGGGGCAAGATTTGGGCCTCGGTTTCGACGGATGGTCGATTGGAAATTTCCGAGTGGCTACATCCAGGTAGTAGAGACGATTTATAAGTCTCAGTTTGTTCCACTGATTTGGCCGTCAGTTAGGCCATGGGAAGTAACCAGGCGATACAAGGGTGGATCAAAGAAAGTTGGAAACATTAACTGCTAAGGCAGTTCCTTTTTACCGAGCTTCATGTTTACCTTTTGGGAGTTCGGAAATGGCAAGGGACGCTGGACCCGGTTTCCAGCAGGTAGAGAGATATTTCAGGAGTAGCTGGTGATTGTGCGAGCTTGCTCGTAAGCGAAACTGGCTGATGGTGCCAGGATAACTCCGGGTAGAATTGTGAGGTCCCCGGCCTCGTCCTTGCCTGGTAATTAAATTGAAACTTTCCAAAAAAAAAAAAAAGAAAAAAGAAAGGGAGTCATCAGCGCCATGCGTGACTCTTCGGGTCTGATGGTTGGCTTGGCGGATCTTGGGGTTGTGGACTGTTGTTGGCGGGAGGTATTGCGCGATTGCGCTAATTACGGCATTTTCTGAGCCGAGACTACTCGAGTGCCTTGCTTTGCAAGTGTTTTCGTGTGTCACCTTTGCTTCTGTTCGTGGAAGATTCCCGGCTTCCTGTTTTGGTAATAATAATGATCTCTCATTTTTGAAAAAAAAAAAAAAAAAAGAGTTTGCACGTTTATGCCAGAACAGAGTTTGAAATGGGAAAAAAAAAACACATGTTCGCAAAGAAAACGGCCGCTGAGTTAAAAAAGCCAATGAAAGTACCATGGCCATGGTGACAGGCCGCAGCGTAGAGCTACCTCAACGCCTGAATCTGGACGCTTTTGGGGAGATGTGCAGAAATGGTGTTGAGTTTCGTGAACTGCACGTCTCCACAAACACGACCAGATTCAGGCGTTGATGTAGCTCAACGCTGCTAGTGCTACTTGGCCCCTGGCGTGGTGTCACACGCGAAAAAAAAAAAAAAAAAAAAACCGCCCAACCGATATCTTTAGCCCATGTGTGCCCATTCCAGTTCGCCGCGCATGATGCCATCTTCTTTTTTGTCCATTCGACTTTGAAAACCTCGACCGTTGGCTCGTTTTTCCTCTTTTTTTTTTTTTTTTTTTTTTTTGAGACTTCCTCATTTTTTGGGTTGGGGGGTTCAGGGCGAGGGCGCAAGAACGACCGGGGGCCTGGACCCACTAGCAAAGTATTCTACGTTGTCGCCTACGCTTTCGATCACGTGCGGCTTAGGGTGACGTTCAGAAACCGCTGATCTTATGTCGGATCTAGGGCCAGGCAAAAGAAGAGGTGCATGCGTATACTCGAGACCCTTTCGACCAATGACGTCGCTGCCACTTTATTTTGTGTTTTTTTGTTTTCCTTTTATGGAGTTCACATCGGTGTGGATTTCAAGACTTCGCGAGGGGGGGGGGGGCGTTTTCAAGACTTCGCGCCTTTTGGAAAAGCTCCTCTCCGAGCTCTCCGAGCAACAAAAAAAAGAAAGAAATCTGAGTGCCTACATTCTTTCCGTATAACGTGGCGAACCGTGGACGGTGGTGCAGGGACAGGAACCCCGGGGAACATCAATGTGTCCCCGGTGTCAGACACACATACCGCTGCACAGGACGCCCCGTCGCATGGGTCTGGACGACGAAGTGTAAGCCCAGTGCCTGACCGTTGTGCGTCTCGATCCACAACGTCCAATGCTCAGAGTGCGGGGAGGAACGCTGTCGACAGCCGAGGGAAAGGACAGGCTGCCCGGCCCCCTACGCCTCAGAGGAACACGGATCGGTGGGCCGAGGACGAGACTACATGGCTGTGCAAGTTTCGCAACGAGGTGAAGGGCCTCATGGGCGAGGACAGCGAGTCTATGGGTAGGGCGCGTGTGAAGGCTGGGTTTTGGAAGATTGTTGAGAGTCGAATGCGGGAGAAAGGGTTCAATCGAGATCAAGAGCAGTGCAAGAGCAAGTTCTCCGAAATTTTCGACTTCTATAGAAAGCTGAAGGCGCATGAGAGGCGGTCCGGCAACCCGTCTTACTGGGACATGAATTCCACCATGCGCAAGAGGTATAATATCGATTTCGTGATTCGTCGCAGTTGGTATGACAGCATTTCCTCGTCGGAGGGAGACACTGATTCCATCAGGTTGTCGAATTTGAGGGACTCCGGTTCTGAGCAGGAACGGATGGAGGATGGAGATGGGGAGACGGGGGGTGGCAGCGAGGATGCCGGCGGTGGGGATGCCGGCCCTTCCGGTGGCACACGGTCTGGTGCTTTCTCCCCCACGCTGGGCAAACGCAAACGAGCTGTCAGCAATGCGTGACCACAGCACAGCAATTACGGCGTGACCACACCATGCGGGCAGTGTGTGGGGCTATGCGTGACCACAGCTCAGCAATTACGGCGTCTGATCGACAGTGTGCGAAGTTGCGCTGTGATTCAACACTTGATGTCGCGCGCCAGCAGGCTGATCTGCAGAGGGAGCTGTTGAGGGAGGACATTGCCTCACGTGAGCGCGTGGCAAACATCGTAGGAGATAGGATCAATGCGGGGTATGCTGTGCTTGCAGAGGCCATCTGTAGTCTTCGATCGCCAGGGCGATCACGTCGCCGCTCACACGATCAGGCAGCATTTTCGTCCGATTCCGAGTAGGTCTGCGTAGGACTCACTGCCGTAGTGTTTTGCACTGCACGGTTGCTGTGCGGTGAATTTGCTCCCAATTCCGTCACTGACATGGTTTACGACAGCTTGATCATGGTGGTCTCCATGCGAAAGTTTTTTTTTTTTTTTTTTTTTTTTTTTTTTCCCGACATTAACTTATCTGTCCACCAGCATGTTCAATGCTATTTTTCAGCACGTGGCACCACTACCAGTCATTATTCAGAAGTTGGGCCGTGCGTGTGTGGCCTTGTCACGCGCGAATTTGGCCGTTCATGGCGAAAAGATAACGACTTTTTAAAGTTTTTTAAGCAAATCTCTCTCTCTCTCTCTCTCTCTCTCTCTCTCTCTCTCTCTCTCTCTCTCTCTGATTTGTAATTACCGTCTTCCCCCGAATACAACGTACAGTCATTATCGCTGTATCTTGACTGAATGTTGCCCAAATGCAGCTATAATGTACCAAACACAGATATCATGACTGTGCGTTCTATTCGACGGAGGACGGGCGGTACGTAATTAGTGAATACGTATCATTATTCGTGACAGAGGTTAATCAATGCAAATCTTTTTTTTTTTTTTTTTTTTTTTTGGTATCAATGATGGTACTGATGATGATGGTGACGACGACAGTTTTTCTGATCTGTAACGGATGACGCGTAAGCTCTACCCCTACACTTTACTCTCTCTCTCTCTCTCTCTCTCTCTCTCTCTCTCTCTCTCTCTCTCTCTCTCGATGTCACTTCATGAAACGGGTCGGAAAACGGAAAAAAAANGAAGACTGAGGTAGTGGTCGTCCTCGGCATCGTCATCGGGAAGAAGATCCTTCCACAAACCAGCACTTCGCCGCATCACCCACCACCTAGGCGACACACGGGGAAGGATTTTAGTGATGTCGACAATGGCAGGCCAAAGCCACAGCAGACTGTGATTGGTCTGTCTCTTATACACATCTAGATGTGTATAAGAGACAGGGTTAAGCTCTACCCCTACACTTTACTCTCTCTCTCTCTCTCTCTCTCTCTCTCTCTCTCTCTCTCTCTCTCTCTCTCTCTCTCTCTCTCTCTCTCGATGTCACTTCATGAAACGGGTCGGAAAACGGAAAAAAAAAAAAAAAAAAAAAAAAAAAACTCTCCGCATGTGGTTGGCCTATACCGGCCACGTGGTTGTCCTCCGGGCAGACACGGGCTGGCATGGTGGTCTCCATGCGAATAGAACATACATTCATCATCACAGTATCTACACTCAATGTTGCCCAAATGCAGCTATAATGTCCCAAACACAGCCATAACGACTGTACGTTCTTTTCGAGGGAGGACGGGCGGTACGTAATTAGTGATTACGTATCATTATTCCACATAGAGGTGAATCACATGATGATAATGATGGTGCTGATGCGACTGTGCTCCATGAATCGAGTCCGAAAACAGTACCGACGGGCAATGCTTGCCGCTGATGATGGTGCTAGACATAATTACTGGTCTTTCTCGATGTCACTCCATGAAACGAGTCCGCAAACAGAAAAAAAAAACACAATACTTTCCGCAGGCGTCCCGTACAATACCAGCCACGTGACTGTCCTCACGGGCAGACACGGGCTGGAATGGAGATTGTGGAGACGATGCATGACAACGCACTTGATTGAAATCGTCGCCACCTGACATCTTAACGCCGGCAGCGGTGCAGTAAGTGGGGACGAATCGGAGGGGTCAAAGCAGTGCCGACGAAGTGTGAGCAGTGTGTTGAAGCAGCACTGCTGCTAGGCCCCACACCGGGCTAGTATGTAGGCACCTTCGCCTCTCACCTTGTCGTAGGAGCGGATATCGTTTGGTCCTCCGGGCTTGTTATTGAAATCAGATGATGATGATGGAGATGATAATCGGAGGGGCCGTACGGAACTACAAGCCATGGCAAACTCGGATGCCCACCATCCCCGAGCAAGTACCCGCCAGGCACACCCGGGATGGCGTCCCGTTGCACAATGAACGGGTCGTCAACATCGTCCAAAAACAGGCGGCCCTTCAATGCGCAGCTATACAAAGACGTGTTCTTCAGCACACGCGTGTCACCGACGGTACCTGGAAATCCGTAACAGAAGTCCAAAATCTTCAGGTCAGCGTCCACCACCAGCTGCGCGACCACCGAGAACCTGTTGTTCCTTCCGGAGCAGTACTCGTCCCCGTCCTTGGAACGAGGCTTGTCAATGAACACGTGCATGCAGTCGATGCGTGCAGTCGATGCAGCCCCAGCAATTTGGGAAACCCAATGCCTTGAACTTCTGCATTCTGTCGTGCCATTCGGCGAACCCACCGAAGCCCACGGCGGTCGGGTAGCAAGCAATAATTGCCTCTGCAACTTCCATAATAGCGCGCAAGCCGCTCGTTTTGCCAAGACCGTAACCTGAGCAACTGTGCATATGGCGGTCTCCATGGGCCCACCTATGAAGAGCGTACGCCAATTTCTTGGCTGGTGGCAAAGGGAGACGGAATCTGGTGACCTCCCTCTCCAAAAGAGGGCCAACCTTCCGCAGCAAACGGTCAAAAGTTGAGCGCGGCATCCGTAGAAGACTGAGGTAGTGGTCGTCCTCGGCATCGTCATCGGGAAGAAGATCCTTCCACAAACCAGCACTTCGCCGCATCACCCACCACCTAGGCGACGCACGGGGAAGGATTTTAGTGATGTCGACAATGGCAGGCCAAAGCCACAGCAGACTGTGATTGGTCGGGCCATCGTCGTCATCGTCTTCCATGGCCCGTCCCAGATTGGCGAGTGCCGCAGGGCCCACCGGCAGCCCAACCCCACTGCGATACCCACCAATGAGCTCAAGCACTTCATAGGCATCCACCGCAATCTTGCCAGCGGCAGCCATGATAGCAACCGCTAATCTCTCACGGTCCCTCATCCGAAGCCTCGGCATAGGATTCCAATAGGCAGTCCCACCCCCAATGGCGGCACACAAAACCCCCAATGCGAGGTATGGTGTCAGAGAATAGCAGGGCACCTCCCCCCCGCCCCCCTCCCTTGACCCCCCCCTTAATGTGCCCCCTTTCTATCACACACGACCCCGAACGCTAGTGGGCACCGGACCCCCCACCCCGGACAGCGCTGTGACGGGACTGTAATGCCCGTCGGGTGGACTTCACGCTGCCGGTGCCAACGAGCTGGACCGCACCCAACACGAACATTCGAAGGAGGCACTGCCGGGACACATGCAGATGTAAGTACTATGGGTGGACTACTGGATCGAACCACACAGCCCGATGGCGGAGTCCGGCCGAAAACGGCACGCATAGGGCCTCGCTGCGGTACTCTCCAATTGTGCGAAATGAGACTGAATCCACTAGAACAAGGCCTCGCTGCGGTACTCTCCAATTGTGCGAAATGAGACTGAATCCAACACTAGAACAAGGAAAGACTTGACGTTTCATTCGTGTCTCATCTGCATGTGGAGAGTAGTGCAGCGAGGCTCACATTCGTCGTTTCCACTTCACCACTACGTAGGCAGCTGAAAACACCATGCGCTGCACTTTTCCTCAAATGCGCAATACGAGACTGGATCTTCCGCTAGTACACCGGAAGATACAACGCCATAATTGACCTCCTATAGCAGTCCCGTCGGCCGCATGCACCAGACAGCAAAAACTAATCGCTGCGATGCATCTACCCGTCGTCCCCGATGCATCTACCCGTACGTACCAACTCCATTCGTTGTTGTAGCGGCGGAGGTGCATTCCGCTACGTTGTGTGGTGCATCGTTGTTGGCAGACTCCGAAGACTCCGTCTGATACGGCGAGTACGTCTCCAACGTGGGAGACGGTTACAAGAAAATATACGAGAAAAAGAGAAAAAAATCCCACATCTTTTTTTTTTTTCGATTTAGAAAACGTCAGAAAACAATTAAAAATTGAAAAAAGCGCGTCACACATCGTAGAATACTTTTTTTTTTTTTTTTTTTTTTTTGAGAGAATACTTCGCTAGTGGGTCCAGGCCCCGGGGCGGATGTGGCCTGACCCCACCATCCAACCTTGTTGGAGGGCTGCTACGGCTAGTCGGACGGCCCGCCGGATGGTCCACAGCCACCAGCAGGTAGGGAATTAGCCCACCACGGTAGTGTTTCCCACGAGCGACAATCCAACAAGTAGGGAAAAAAGGCTGGGGTTCCCTGTGCGCCCCGGGTAACGAGGTGGGGTCGCCCAAGGAATGCCCGGTTGAAAAGAAAAAAAAAAAAAAGGGAAAAAGAAAAAGAAAGGGAAAACCAGAAAAAAACAAACAAACAAACAAACAAACAAACAAACAAACGAAAGAAAAAGAAAGAAAAGTGGACCTGCGCGGGCGTAAGGAAGAGAGCGAGCGAGAGAGAGAGAGAGAGAGAGAGAGAGAGAGAGAGAGAGAGAGCTGTCTCTCTCCAAAAAAATCCCGCCTTTTCGAAAAAAGGCCGCCCTTTTTTGAGACTGACAACTCAGGAAGGACTCTTGAATATTAGTGGAGCGAGGCCCTAAGCCTTTCAACTCCACCCCAGACTCTAATTAAACTGTCCCAATGAATGAAGAACCACTTCGTCCCTTTTTTTTGGGGGGGGGGGGAAGTAGAGGCTTTTTTTTTTTTTTTTTTTTTTAGCAATGACTCGGAGGCCGGGAATCCTCACAAACAAACCGGGAATGACTGGACCCTGGAACCCGTTGCCCAGCTTCAGTCCCTCTAGTAG